TATTATTGAAAATCACAGTTATCCCTGTTGATGACAGTTTACGATACGAAGAGATTATTCAAGATGTGATGAGTTTTGCAGCCTCAAATGGGGGAGGTAGACTTCCGAGGAAGAGAAGAGATACCCTGCCTGAAGTGAGAGCGTCAGTGAGAGAGGATGTTGACGTTGGTACCCTAGTACTTGACATCAATAATATTCCAAGCGATCCAACTAGAGACCGATTCACAATGATTGAACCACTGAATCCACATTTTTATGTTGATTATGGTACTGGTCAGGTCACTGTCCTCCAGTCATTGGATCATGAAACCAACCCAGAGGAGGAATTCACAGTGGAAATCACTAAGGAAGGTGATTCAGGTGAGTGTTTATCTTTTTCATGAGACAGCCGGCAGCCCACTGCTTACGCGATTATCCCACTCACTGAATATCAACAACTTTTTGTATTCACATTGGTATTACTTCAAGAGGGCCTATACTCAATATTACAACACTTATTTTCTCTGTGAATGTCCCACCAAATTTTACTGCCTGTCTTCTGCTGTTGGTTTCTTCTAGCTATGACCATAAGTGCTATCCTTATTAGTCCCCGTTCGGACGAAGTCCGAAAACGGGGACTTATAATTCGGTCTCCGTCCGTCCGTCCGTCCGTCCGTCCGTCTGTGCGTCCGTCCGGAGTAATATCTCAGAATCCCTTGGACCGATTTTGTTCATTCTTTGCATGTGCCTAGTACTTTATGTGGGACATATGCACATGCAGTGGTTTAGCGATTCGATTCAAAATGGCCGACTGGCAGCCATCTTGTTTTTTGAAAATGTCATATTTTGGACATGCTTTGTCAGTTTTCATTCAAATTTAGTACATAGATCATACATGTTAGGATACATGTCCCGACCGTCCGTGAGTTCCTGAGTCTGTCTGTTCGTGAGTCCGTCTGTCAGTCTGTCCAACGTCATGTTTCAGAATCCTGTGGACCGATTCCGTTCATTCTTTGCATGTGCCTAGTACTTTATGTGGGACATATGCACATGCAGTGGTTTAGCAATTCGATTCAAAATAGCCGACTGGCAGCCATCTTGTTTTTTGAAAATGTT